TGAGGATATACCTCCGGTAGACGCATTCCTCGATGAGGAGGAGGATGTGAAGCTCCATATCAATGCGCATGCTGTTGGGGTCAATGGAGTCATTGTGCAAGGGCAGTCTGCCTTTCTCGCTCCTGCAAGGTACGTGAAGCGAGCGGATATAGTCCTCAAGGACTTTGTGGAGAAGGATCCTTGGGAGGGAAGGAGGTTGAGTGGATGGCAAAGCTTGCATTGGCAGAGACCTTCCGGGAAGTGGAGCTTACTCACTCGACGCGCACGCGAAGTATGTGGCGGATGTTAGTTTCCTCGTCAACTCAATCGTCCAAGTGCACGAGGATGGAGGAAGGAGTCAAGGCCCTGTTAGAGATATGAAAGAGGACGAGTTTGAGGAAGGAAAGATAACGAAAGCTTTTCGCACAGATGAGTACGAAGGCATATACCGCAAATTGGGCTTGCTTCTCTCGTGTGAGATTAGAGAGAGAGAAACAACTAAGAAGGTACTCGAGATGCGACTTTGTTTCTTAGTCCGGGATAAAAACCTTTTTATCAAGAACGAGGTTGGCAACCCGAGAAGGGTATCTACGTTCGAAATTGTCAGATAGACGTTATAGCCGCACTTCATGATGGACCCGCAGGCGGTCACATAACATTTGCCTTGACGTATGCGAAGGCGTGTGAGCTTTACTATTGGAAAGGAATGAGCGAGATGATTCGCAAGTATTGCGAGTCATGCGTTCCATGTCAAATAAGGGTGTCGACTATATACAAGGAGCCATTGCACCCACGGATTGTGCAAGATGCAGGAGCAGTGGTCCATCTGGACCTACTGGCAATGCCTCAAGGGGTGGGCGGCTACAATTACATCTTCGACGCGCGGGGCAATCTTACGGGGTTTGTTGATAGGCAAGTCATTCGCAGTAAGACGGGCAAAACATTGGTTTTATGCATCTCCGAGTATTTCCTGAAATATCTTTTTGTAGTAGCATTCGTGATGGATAAAGGATCGGAATTCACATGTGGAGAAGTGAGAACCTTGTTGCAAGAGTATGCGTACCAGCCAACTACATGACTAGGGCACATCCGCAGGTGAATGCCCCAGTTGAGAGAGGACATACCACCATCACGAATCTACTGGCGAAATGGACAAATGGTAGGGAGAACCAGTGGCCTAAGCACCTGCGTGCAATGTTCTTTGTGGAGAATATCACGATTAAGAGATCCATGAAGTACGCGCCAGCAACACTATGGTATGGACGGCATGCCATGCTCCCGATAGAGAGCTTTCTGAAGACGTGGAGAAGACGGGATATGGAGAGCACCTTGTCCTTCGAAGAGTTACTGGATTTGCGGGCCAGACAAGTTGGCATAGCGGAAGAAAGGATCCAGGAAGGAGCCATTGGAAGTCAGAGATGTGGTATTACTATACGACTCGTCGCTAGAAAAGCAGTGGTCGAGCAAGTTGGACAAGCGGTGGCTATGCCCATATCGCATTAGAGGGTGTGGACAACATGAAGCGTACGAGATTGAGGAGCTTAATAGCACGCCATGGAGAGACTGGGTCTCGGGTTCGAAACTGAAAAAGTTCAAGGCTCGAGACTAAGGTAAGGGTGACGGAAAAACACCGTAGATAGGGATATTATCCGATTCCTCGTCTTATTAGGTGGTAATTTGCATTAGTAATAGGACAAGATTGGGTGTTAGTACTTAGATAGGTCTTAGTACGAGTTTTAGTTCGTCAGGCAGGTCAGTCGTCCGAGAGTATAAGATATCTACATAGGTCGGTCGGTATTGGCATTCCCCTTCTTCTCCTGTGCTTACTTCAGCTTCCTCTATCGTCCGTCCTTCTTGTTTGTGCAGGGTTGACTTTTTGAAGTTGGCCACTATTTGGAGGGGCGGGAGGATGGCGGGACAGGAGGATGAGCGACTAGCCACGTCTTCGATACTGGACCCTTTCCGTTACGGGGGTGGACATGTATTTCCATTTTGGGACGGATTAGTGAGCCAGGTTTGGGTCCTTGGGTTAGATTTCGCTCAAATGACAGGGAGGGTCAGGGGCACTGGCAGCTATGAGGAGCGTGTGACTCAAATCGTGAGAGAGTCATTAGATTGGAGGCAGTCTGTCAGGCGGATGCTGAGATTGTGGCCTCAACCCATTGATCGACAGGGTAGGCCCATGCGGTTTCATGGGGCTAACCTTGATGAGTTCCTTGAGGTTTTCATATTTTTTGGGGATGAGCAGAGATGGACTGAGGCGCAGAGGATTAGGCAGGTACGACACTGGGTTGTCCCGAATCTTAGACATGAGGTGAGTACCATGTCACACACAGCGCAAACTTGGGCGGAGCTTATAGTGACGCTTAGAGGGGCATTCAACATTGGCAGATGACGCAGACTGCACAGAGAAGTTGGGGATTATATACCAGAGCTCAGGGTACATCCGTGAGCGCAGCTAGAGAGGGATGAGGACGATGAGGGCCGATTGCGAGAGAGGCAGAGAGTGAGAGTGAGTAGCCAGTGATCCCACGCAGGCCTAGGACAGGTAGGCGTCGAGGACGTCAGGATAGAGGGGATGATCTAGAGGAGAGTGATCACGTGTTGACTGTTGATATTGGAAGGACCCTCTTGACAAATGATGTGGGGGAGGAGGCCTTACCAACAGGCCTGTTGAGATTGGGACATCGCCAGTACCGGAGGCATGTTAGGGTGAAACAGGGATTAGAGATTGCGATCTTGGAGATGCACCTGAGCCAGATGAGAGTACTCACCCTATGCTCAGACAGGATGGGAAGGAGGCTTCTCTACAGCTTGTGTTGACGATTGCTTCGACCCGGCCTACTGAGATTGATACCACAGAGAGAGTGGTCTCCGATACTGCATCAAAGGATAGGAGGGATAGGCCTTATCAGTGGAGAGACACACGGGACATGGCATTAGATTTGCCACAGGGGGAACTACAACTTATGATAGGGCCTGCCACTATAGTACCGATGCAGCAGCACGAGGGGCCTCAGCCTGAGCAGCTGCGAGAGACAATGCCGATGCATGGTGAACCAGGGCATGATGGGCAGGAGGACCAACCTCAATCAAAGTCGGCGATAGAGGATGGTGAGCGAGGTGAGATGAGGCCTTTATCGTTGGATGGGTTGCCATTACTGAGTGAGAGCCGATTGACTGAGCAGCCAACTGAGCCTGAGGGTTCATTGACTGCCCAACTATATGACATGGAGTCTCCTAGGATGCAAGTACGACAGGAGGTATCGCAACCATCGACCATGGGTATAGAGACAGAGCAGGTCGAGGCCGAGATCTTGGGGCTAGACAGGGGAGATCCTACGGAGGGTATATAGAACCCGCGAGAAGGATCGTCACCTCAAGATTTTGGGGATACACCTCGACGAGACGATGATAGGAGTGAGGCCGGCATGAGGGGTCACGTTGAGGTAGGCTCGGAGAGCACTCATGACGCATCCATGACTCATGAGGAGGAGAGTCTGCCAGAGTCTCGAGAGCCGATAGATCATGACCCTGTCAGGACGGATGCGTGGCTAGATGAGGAAATGGGACGGATGCCATCGTTACATTTTCTGGGCTGGTTGGCTCTTGAGCGACTGGGCCAGGCCGCGAGACCTCATTTGCCAGAGGATCAGACCACTAGTGGGCTCATAGTATTATATGACGACCTAACCATGCAGAGGACCTATATTGGTAGCGGCCTTGCAGCATCTCGAGAGGCGACGAAGCAGGTTAGAGATTATACGAGGAGAGTCGCCATCCGATCCTTTCAGCTGAGTCGCGACAGGCAGACAGAGCACGATGCATTGAGAGAGGCGGTGAGTGACCTCCATACGTTTGTTGAGGGAAGGTAGGCTCAGACTCTCGAGGAGGCCAAGGCGGTCCTCAGGATTAAGGAGAGGGAAGCGAGTGATTGACGAGCGCAGGTTTAGAGGATACTCAGGGAGTATGCGCCACATGCAGACGTGACAGATAGAGATAGGCTCGAGCGCAGGGTTGTCCTTCAGACTGTGCGGTCATCTCAGTTGGAGAGCCAGGTATCGATTCTTGTCAGGTTACGGCGAGAGACCGAGGAACAAACACATAGGCTCTTCTATGAGGAGGCGGCCACAACAGGATGGCAGAAGGAGGTTAGGATGAGGAGACAGACAGGAAAGGAGCCTATGCCCGAGGGAGAGCGTACATAGGCAGAGGAGGGGCTTCAGGCGAGATTGTTATCTGATGCCTCAGTGCAAGAGTTGGCAGGAGTGATGGAGCATGTGAGGAGACTCACGCAGACCGAGGTTGCACGAGGAGAGGTGCTCCAGGATGTGGTACAGAGGGTAGGTGCTCTGGAACAGGAGAACAGAGGACCGAGGGACATGGTACATGACCTCGTCACCAGCGCAGAGCAGGCAAGACAGTCTACCTCGAGACTCGAGCAGAGGATTACTGACCTAGAGGAGAGTCAAAGGTATCAGGCCACGACAGGTCTAGTCGACGAGAGGAGGACTGAGAGGCAGCAGATTCCTATCGGACACGCACATGTCGCTCATGATGTAGAGCCAGGTGGAGTGAGATTGGATATCCCACGGCGAGACTCGCCGACGGAGGAGCCACTCGGGGCTATGGGGATGACATGTGAGGAGGTTGCAGTCGTCTACAAGCTCATGCTTGAGCCAGACGAGATCGAGAGGAGGAGAGAGGCGGAGGCACGTGGTATGGACTGGGTTCCTCCCTCAGAGTTGGTTGTTCAGAGGGATGCATGGAGAGAGATGGATGGTAGACACGACGAGCGAGAGAGGGTTTGGGAGTCTCGAGATGTCATGCCACAACAGGACACGTGCAGATCAGCGACGGTACTGCCGATGACTCTGCCACTTACACCAGCTCCAGCTTTAGGGCCGATGGACAATATAGTGCACCTCCTTTCGTCTGGGACTTAGAGATGTGATGAGGAGGTGACGATTGAGAGGGTTTCGAGGATGTTGAGCCCTGATACGATGGATAGAGCCGTACAGGATGTGACGATCCGACTCGAGAGGGTACGGCCTCGGATCCTACCCAAGCCTAAGAAGGCAAAGGTAGAGGACAACAACACCAGTGACATGTGCTCGTGGTGTGGTAGAGGAGTGCACGACAGGGTTGCTTGCACCGCCTTTTAGGATGACCTTAGGAGGCGAGTCGTGCAGTTCGACGGACAAGGGCGAGTCAGAGATATGCGTGACGCTCTTCTACCAAGGAGACGTCACGGTGCTAAGAGAGGAGTGTATGACAGGCCGAGCTTGGAGCTGAGAGAGGATGAGTGACAGATTACATATCCACGAGACGCATGAGGGGCCAAACTATGAGATTTCAAAGAGAAGATCAATGAGAAAAAAAGTGGCTATTATGGGAGATAGATTGTTGGGCTCGTTTCAAATCTTCTTTGAGGGTTCTGAGGCATTGACGTGTATACCTCATGACTTATACATTGGGAGTTTTTGACTCTAGACTTCAGAATGCGAGCCGTTTACTATATGTAGTTGGTGATCAGATTTGGCTCGTGTTTCAGTAGACAGTACATACATGATAGGCTACTAGGTTTAATAGGTTGGCTTGAGTAGGGGTTTCAGAGATTTGCCTTAATCATGAGAGTCCAGTTTTGTGTGAGTTCTGTGAGAGTTTATGTGATTTTTGTGTGAGCTTTGTGTGAGATTGGTGTGTGTTTGGTGTGAGTATATGTCTGATGTGAGTATGACGTTTCAGGGTAAGCCCATGAGTTAATGAGTGTTTTTGCGAGATTACATTGTTTCGTTCAGGGGCACTGCTCCAGTTGTCGGATAGTGATACTCACTTGAGACGTTCGCTTCTTCATGATTGATTCTGAGATTCAGATAGTATTGCGTAGATGATTCCTACGAGACACGATACTGTACTCGATTTTTCTTTGTTTTCAGTATGCCTGATTTGTTGTGTTTTGATTCAGACGTGTGAATCTCGTGTGGAAACAGGGAGCCATGAAATATTCTCACAGTGTGGACTTGTGCTTACTTCCCTTGCATCTGAGATGTCTGTATCCGTTTTTCGGTTGTGAGTGAGTTGTTTTGATTGTTGAACAAGTGGTTACTGACCTTGATTGCATATGAATCAGTGTGTGAGAGTCAGTGAAAATTGTTCGACAAAAATGCATGGAAATAGGTTGAACCGGAAAGGCAGCCTAAATGATGTATGAGAAGGGGGCCCAATTTGAGGAGTCACCTATTTATGTATGTGAGTTGAAGCAAAAATTTATGATTATAGCTTGTTCTGCGAAAGAAGTAAAGCTTTGATTTTTGCAGGAAACTGTCAGTGGATAACCAAGCTTGAGAAAAAATGTTCATATAATGAGGGGTTTCTTCGAAAGAGAAACTTGTTTGTAAGGCTTTGAGACCAACAGTCGCATCTACCATGATCACGCAGAACGACTGCAAGCAGTGAAAACTGGCTCAAGAGTATTTTGGGAGGCCCAAGCCGGGGGCTAAATCGGCATCGTTGAGGCACCCCCAACGTAGGCCTGGTTTGTGCGGGTAGGACAAATCACGGTCCCACGACTATTCATACGCAGGTTCACGCCTACCTAGCTCAGCCTTCGGCCTAGATCTAATACCGGACTTTCAAACGACAGGTTTAGGGTTTGAGGTCAACAAGCGGCGATGGAGCAAAAGAACACGACCAACAAGGACTGAGGGGTCGAGGGTCTTAAGGGAACTAGCTCCGGGACAGACCCAAGCCTGGGTTCGACTTGCAAGACCAAGAGGGCGTCGAGAGGTCATCGTCCTCTTCAATTCTACTATTTTTATTTTGTTGATTTATTTTTATTTTTATTTTTCCCCATTTTTCCGTCTGTTGACCAGGCCGGGAACTAGCTCCGAGACAGACGATGAAGAAATACCGCGAGGGCGGATGAAAGGAACTTCAAAAGATAGTAAAAAAATGTTTGGAGATTGTTGAGCGACGAAGCGGGAGGACAAAAAATCGTGTATCCCCACTCAACGGGGATGGAAGGCGACTGCATCACCGTCCTCCTTGACGGTACGTGATGTGCATGCTAGCATAGGCTGTTGTGACCAGCATTACAGTAGGGAGCGATTGAAACACCTCCCCACGAGTGGCCGTCACAACAGTCGAGAACCTTGAGCAAACGCATTTGTGGGTAGGTCCGTTCGACTTCCTGTGTGGTCGAGATGCTGATAAAATTCCTCCCTCTTCCCAATCTTAAAATCATGGTCCGAGGAATTCAACGTGCATGTGAGTAGTGGGTGTGTAGCCCGCAAAGAGGAAGGAACCTGAGTGGCAGGACCAGCACCTGCGGATGCACCTCCCGCCAACGACGTGTCACTGTAAGAGGTTTGAGCGTGAACAGTCCTGTGGGACCGTTGGGACTGGACCAAGTTCAGCTGGTACACCCGCGGACTGCGGAAAGTAGGCCTGTGGGAACAGCAGTGGCAGACTTGGCCCAACTGGTACACAAGCGGACTGCTGAAAATAGGCCTGTGGGAACAACAGTTGCAGACCTACCTCAGCTGGTACACCCGCAAACAGCTGACAACAGGCCTGTGGGAACAACAGTGGCGGACTTGGCCCAACTGGTACACCCGTGGACTGCTGAAAGTAGGCCTGTGGGAACACCAGTGGCGGACTTGGCCCAGCTGGTACACCGGCGGACTGCTGAAAGTAGGCCTGTGGGAACAACAGTTGCGGACCTACCTCAGCTGGTACACCCGCAAACAGCTAACAACAGGCCTATGGGAACAACAGTGTCAGACTTGGCCCAACTGGTACACCCGCGGACTGCTGAAAGTAGGCCTGTGGGAACAACAGTAGAGGACCTACCTCAGTTGGTACACCCGTGAACTGTTGAAAACAGGGCTGTGAAACCAACACCTGTAGGCATAGCTCAGCTGGTACACCCGTGAAAACAGGGCTGTGAAACCAGCACCTACAGGCATAGTCCAGGAGGTACACCCGCGAACTGTTGGAAAGAGGTATTTGGTATCACCACCCACGCAAGCTCTATTGGTACACCCGCAGACTGTTGAAAAACAGTCTTGTGGGAACACCACCTAAGCGAGCCCAGTTAGTATACCCACGAGCTATTAAAATACAAACCTGAGCTCAAACTCCATTGAAGGTGGGTGAGTGGGAGCTTGCGGTGCAAGCTGAAATACCACTACTTTTATTTTTATTTTTTATTTTTATTTTTTTATTATTATTTTGATGTACTTTTTTATTTTATTTTCGTGAGGTGGGAATGGGACTTTGCCCCTTCCTCTCGGTCCAAGTTGCGGGTGCTTGTGGCCTGGCTGATTCAAGCGAAAGACTTACCGGTTGTCAATGAATTGGCCCTCTCCGAAGTTTCCCTCGGAATAGCGTGAGTTTTGTTAGGCGGCTTCACCACGCAGTTGTGAAATAGAGTGCTGTGAAGGGAGACTGACTTTGGCAGAGGCGGACAGGAAGAAAGTAATGGCGAAGGCAGGTTTGAGTTGGGCGGAGGCGGGAAGCTGAAGCCGCCCGTTTCCAAATGAAAACGGGCGAGGTAAAATACTAGATTGGAGCTTTGAGCCCAGAAGACCTCAATGGTATAATTAGAATGATAAAAAGAGGGATATATGGTGGGCTAGAAGAAAAAGAAATGTCGGGAAAAAGCCGAAGAAGGAAGAGCGAATCTGGACGTGGTTCTGCATGAGGTGCGTTCGAAAGAAGGCGATGAAGGTAGCGAAGATAGGGAAGGACTACAAATGGAAAAAGGCAGATCTCGCCCGTTTCTTAACGAAAACGAGCGAGTGAAAACTCGAAATAGGGGTTCTCAGGCAATGTGCATCAGATGGTGGACTCAGATCGGTTGACAGGTGGGCGGATGTGGCTGCACAGTTAGTAGGGGATGCGCGGTGCATAATAGGAACAAGCATGGTGCTCTGCGTTAGACTGGCGAGAAGGGGAGATGTAAAGGGAGCAAGTGAGGAACAACGAGTAAGGAAGAGGGAAAGAACAGGGGCTTACCTGATTGTTGTAAGGGATCTTCATCAAGAGGTTCATATCAATAGTGTTGCTATCAGGAGCCGCTGCGGCCATTTATGTTGATCTCCAGCGGGTCGATGCACTTGGCCACTTTGGCAGAAGAGTCACTCTGATCCTGCTCATTCTATTGCAGAAGGTAATCTCTCTCTAACTCTCTTCGTGTACGGCTGGGATGCAATGTATATTTCCCATGATTAACTGAAGATTCACTCTCGTTTTGCACATTTTGTCCGGGCACGTCAGCATTGGAAAAAAAGTGTCAGAGAACAGTCGTGAAACTTCCCATGATTAAGGGAAGATTCATCCTCGTCACTGACCCCGACGACCTCGCATGACAAAGTGAAGCGCAAGCCAGGAACAGAGAGCAGGAGCAAGCACAACACATACACAGACAAAGAGAGAGAGAGAGAGAGAGAGAGAGAGAGAGAGAGAGAGAGAGAGAGAGAGAGAAARGGAGAGAGAGAGAGGCTTACCAGGTGGGGTGGTTGGTGCCGAGTGGCCACTGCAAGACGCCGTGGAGAATCTCCCCTCATACTGGTGGAAGATTCATTTCRATTTTGTCCATCATAAYGGTGGAAGTAGTCCCTCTCYATCTCTCGGTGCGAATGGTTGGAAGGGAGTGTGTGTTCCCATGACCCAACAACAGACTCATTCGATCATCCTTGTGGCCACAATCTTTGTTGAGCATGGCCGGGACCTCTCGCTTCGCGGTCGTGGTCTGGTTTTCGCTGTCGGGTTCTAGTGATTGACTCACTCTCACCTTGCTGAACGAGAGCGCAGCTGCTGGAGGGAGAGAGAGGTAGGACGTGCCCCTGCAGCTGGGCGGTGCATCATCTCATATGTTGGGGGAAGATATATTTCCTTTCCGTACGGGGGCAACACTAGTGTTGTTACCGGGCACATGTATATGGTCATGGGCTAACAAAAGACTCAGCCTCATTTACACATTTGGTAAGAAGTGGAGCACTGACTTGTCAGCGTG